GAGAAAAGGCTGCGTTTATTAGGACACTAGTGGGAGATATCCCTCAGGAGTGATAGAGCGTAATGAATTTAGAGCCATTCAACATTAATGCAGTGTCGCTTTAAGAGCCACTGAGCTGTATCTCCCTACATCAACTTCACTTTTCTGATTTCCTGACAGCCAGTAGGCCATTAGTCAGTGGCACATCCACTGTTTGCTGCCTTTAATCTGATCATAGCACAAAAGGCTCAAGTGCCTTCACCTATTCATCAAGTCTGCCACTAGTGCATCACTGACCCGGATCGTGGAGTAATTCTGTTGATGTTTTTCTCAACCAACTTCAGAATGGTTAACTCTTAGGGCTTCATTTTCTTCTTATTTTTTTTCCCATTTCCTGTTCCACTAAAAACGTTCTCACCTGCTGTGAATATATATGAAAAACTTGTCAGGAAACTTTGACACAGGATTTATGTTTATGTGGTAAGGAATCAGAGTCTGGTCAGAACAATGTTACCTCACATTAGAATCAGAATGGATAAGGATTTAATTGATAGGATGTCCAGACATAGACAAGCACAGACTGGACATGCTGTCTGTTTATCGCCCAGAGGGACTTTCTACAGGGCTGCTCCAGGGACCAGACAGAAATCAACCTACATCACCACTGACAACACACAATAGTGGAATATGTGCACAGTTGTGGCACAAAGACTCTATAATAATATAATATAGTATCAGGTTTATTTTATTTTATTTTATTTTTACTCTGTTGATTAATTGGTCATCACGCTGGAAATGTATTTGCTCTCTTGCAAACAGTATAAGTGTTACATGGAATGTTGTGCTATAAGATGTTACTGCAATACAGCTTATCTCAAAATCCTGAAATCATTTTAGAGACGTTCAAATGTAAACACAAAACCCCTTTATGTTGAGCTGGGTTATGTAATAGTGTGACACACAACACCTGTGGGAAATGTTCCTGCCTTACTTCACTCCTGTCTCCTCTGGTAAACAATCCATCTCCAGGTCATGTCCATAGGATTTAAACTGATTTAATCACAACACCTTCAGTTTTAGAGGTAAGCTATCAATCACAGGATGTTTAGATGATGAAAGACAAGAAATAATTCTTTTAACGTCACCTTTATAGTGAAAAAATGAAATTTCTTACAGATTGACTACTACTATTGCTATGTTTGTGTTTCTTAGCCGCAAGTATAGCTTACATTAGAGCTGGGCAAAATGAAAGGGGGGGCAGGGGGGGACCAAATTAATCATAAAATAATTTAATAAAATGCAAGATTCCTTTAAGATAATAAAAGTCAAATCAGTATTGGTCAAAAGTCACACTGTTCACAAGTTATTTTAAGTTATTTTCTTAAATCCAAACACAGTATATCATCTAGCTCAGGCTAGCTTAATCAACTAGCCCCAGCTACTGTAGTTACTAGGGCTAGCTGAATAGTTTAGCTCTGTAACTTTTAACAACTGGCAACAACCTATATACAGTACATTTGTTTTTGTGCAGAATCTAGTAAAGTATGTCACACTATATTGTTGTTACCCTTCAAACATCTCACTATGACATAGCTTAGCATTGCTAACATTAGCCATAAGGTGTAGCCAGCATATCAGTTACACTATTTACACATTTACAAACAAAATGGGGTTAAAAATTCTTGTCATTCTTGTCATTCTTGTTAGTTTCAATGTAACATTATTATTCCACTCTTGTGATAATGTTTAATGTTTTTATCAGCTATTTCAGCTTGTAATGATAAATAAATCAGCCTTTTTTAGTGATATACATTACGTTTTTGCACATAGAACCCAACTTTAGGTTCTGAACTGGTCTTTGGAAATCAATGGACTATGATGAAACAAACTGTAACATATTCAAAGCAGATGTATTTCACCATTTTCAGTAGCTGAGTTCAGTTAAAGCCATGGCTCATTCTAGCAGTGTACTGAAGTTCATTTGGATATTCTTATACATGTTCATTTTTTCCATTTCTGCTTATTGTCATTCTATTTTTGATTAATTAATTAATTGCACTGGAAAAGCCCTCAGCAGAAAATGCATGTCCAGAGCTTGCACTTAGTTCCGTCACTCTGACAGCTCCCTCAGCTCAGGTGTCACTTTTGTCAGTCAGCTAAACCTCCAGGCTAGAGGGAGATATTCTAAAAGGAAAACAGTGCAGACGAGATGAGGTTACAAAGCACCGCAGGCACTTAACAGATATATATACAGTATATATTCTTTTTTCTTCAGGTGGTTAATTTAGTTTCAGTGTTTAATGTGACATTCATAAATGGTGTCATCTGCTGGAAGACATCACTGGAATGAACTCTCTTTTATTTATTTATTCTTAATTGGTCAAAATCTTTGTCCTCTATTCCTTCTGTCTCACTATCACACACACACCCCCGACCCCCATTCGCGCTACACACGTGTCACAGTTCGAATGAGTTTCACCTCTTGTCACTCGTCTCCTGCGGCTTCGCCTTTGACTTGTACTCTGACAGAAAAACACACACACACAGACACACACACACGCACACCACTTGGTGTGAAGTGATGGCAGAGCAGTGGGCCAGTGATGACAAGCCCTTTATGATAGCACCTGGCTGTGTATGTGTGTGTGTGTGTGGTTGGTGTGTGTGTGAGAGAGTGTGAGTGAGCGAGAGAGACAGAGAGAGAGAGAGAGAGGAAGAGAGAGACACCTAATGCCAACACCTAGCAGACACTTGCACTGTCAGGAATACAGATGCATTCATGGATAGCTACACGCACACACACACACACACACACACACACACACTTCATTTTCCCAGTGGTACAAAGAGAGGGAGCTCAGGTAGCTGTCAGGTGCTCTCCCACAGGGAACAGTGGGCAAGTCAAAAACAGCCTCCTTGCCTGTCAACACACAGACACACACACACACACACATACACACATAATGCGCGAACTCACAGAGCAGGGGGAAAGACAGACTGAGATGCCTTGGGCAGATGCTGGGCCAGTTGTCTCACACAAAAATGTGTGTACATTTGCCTGTGTGTGTGTGTGTGTGTGTGTGTGTGTGTGTGGGCCTGCCTGTCTGTATCTGGAAATGCAAAAGCCACCTGCCTCTGAGCAGCGGACACGCTGCCTTGCATTTAGTCGTGGCCTATGTGCCAGCGATAAAATTTTTTGTTGTGTTCAAGTGCATGTTTGTGTGAAAGCGTGACATGTATATCCTCAGCAGGGACACTGGTTGTTTACCTCTCCAAACACAATGACTTTTTCGAGTGTTTTTTATTCACATGTTCTTTAAACCACTGTGTTCCGTGCCGTTCCGAAGCCTCACCGCCTCACCCCCGGTGCAGCGGGGATGTCACGCTCTGTGGCTGCCCAACAGCCCTGAAAGTGGCTGCAGACCCAGTGCAGCTGTAGCTGCAATGATGCAGGTCATTGGCTCGGCAAGTTCATCTTGTCCAGTGGCGTGGCCAAGGCCACTTTAGAAGAACAGTGTGCTGGAGAACATATGGTGATGTGAGTTGAAGAAATCAATATGTTGTGTAGGTGGCAGAGACAAAGAAAGAAAGAAAAAAAGGTTTTCTACATTAATAGATTAGAAAGAAAACAAAGTGGCATTGCTACTGTTGTTTGCTGGATGTGTATTCGTACACTCTGAGAATCTGTACAGAACTACATCTATCCAAAAATGCACCTGGCTCACATAGGGCAACCTGACCATGTCAAAGTCCATTTCAGGTTTATCATGGTTTTAGAGGAGAGAATCCTACTTCAGTTCATAGGACTTTGAAAAAAATTAAATGATTCTAAATCACTTTAATAGTTTTAGAAGTAATATCTGCATGAATTTTGTTCAGAATATTGAGGGTATTACTTAATTATAAAACTAAATAAAAAATCTGTCCATCTCAAGTCATGTCTTCTTTAATAAAATATAACACAATATTGTAAAATTATGATTTCATTTCACATGACAATAGACCAAACACCCTGATGTAACTCGTGTTAAGGTCAATCGGTCCATTTCCTACTGTGCCCAATGTATGAATCCTTTCCTGTCACCTTTCATTGTCTGTTCTCCTTAGATTAAAACATAATCAGACAACTGATATCATAATCTAGTGAAGAAGTATCTCCTCATTAGGGATATTAATTATACAATATTAACATCAGATATCTGTTCCTGATTTGAATAAATGTCTTGATCGGGCATCGGATAATGGACCGGTCCTTGACACTAATGTACTGTATTTTCTCACTTCTCATTTTGAGATGCACGATATCATCAGGCAGAAGCGATCACACTGTTTGCTTGGCACATTTAGCAGCATCTCAGTATGTCCACAGTTAACTATTTCACATTTAAATCAAAGCTGAGGCGTTAGCTGAAGACCGAGATCAACGTCTTCAAAGTTACTTCTGCTGCTTGACTTGTTCAGCCTTGGTGTTTTTCTCTCTTTGTGGTTTCGACTCTTCAGGTTTTTTTTTTGTCTGGTAGAGCTGTAATATTTCAAAGACTGCAGGTTTTCAGAGAACAGAAAATGAAGTCTTCACACAACTGAACAGCATCCAGCTGACTATCCATTGATTTTAATGTTTAAGCCGACTTTTTAACAAAAAAAAAAAAAAAACACACTGCCTTTAAAAAAAATTAAGTACAACCAGCAACACAGTGGGCCGCTCTGCTGAGCTCGGTTCTGCTCTGCTTGACTGGACCGGTTCTTCCTGGATGAATTGTGAGCATCTGTGCGCTTTACACCAGGATCACACTTAATCTCTGTGTGTTTGCGTTGTCAGACTAAATAAAGCTCCACACCAACCAAAAACTGACGCAAATAAAGATTTAGTTGTGTGGCAGAGCCTCTGCGGTGCAGTAAAACACACTTCCCAAAGAAGTCAGGGAGAAAATCCAGTTGTATTGGTAGTTTATTATGAGTTAAAGCATTCTGTTGACTATAATCATTCTAATACCTCCCATGCTTTCTTCTTTGTCTTCCAGCTTGTAGGGGAATGCTGTGTGGTTTTGGTGCAGTGTGTGAGAGCGATCCAACCAACCGGGCCAAGGCTGAGTGCGTTTGCAAGAAAATGGACTGTCCATCCTTGGTGGCGCCGGTTTGTGGCTCAGATTCATCCACCTACTCCAATGAGTGTGAACTGGAGAAAGCCCAATGCAAGACACAGAGACGCATCAAGGTGCTGCGCAAAGGACCGTGCTGTAAGTACCATCAACTAACACGATTATCCCAGTTTTGGACAAAAGGAAAACACCTGTTTCCTAAATGCATGAAGACCTGATATGAAGAGGAGTGGCAAAATATTTGACAACAATTAAAACAGGTTTTTTTAAATCACTGTTTGAAGATGTTTACCCACTAAATTCTTAAATGTTATGAACATTCTTAAATGTAAACATGAATTTATATTTAAAGTTTTTGGTTACACAACCCGATTTTCAATAATGTCAAAAGATCACTCCCAGAGTACTGCTGTAGTGCCTGGTATTTGTAAAAGCATTAACCAAGCGACTGACATGCATTTTCAAGCATGGAGTATAAGTGAATAGTAGTGCACCAGCCCTGTAGGTTTTTCATTTTACACAAATAGTGCTTGTAATGGCTATGAATTTAGGACAGAAGACCATATTCCAGGCACCAACGCTGCAGGCCTTTGAGTGACGTTAAATTGCTTGTTATTGTCCAGTAAATGGATTTTTATTACACACTGTTCTTATACAACAGGCTATTCCTCCCTATCTGTCCCTGCCAATAATAAAACACATCCAGCCATTATGTCCAATCTATTGTTCCTCTAATATGGCCACATTCCCAGTGCTTAAAACCCACCTGTGCCGTACACACTCGCTGCCGCCATTCATCGCCATCTAGTGTATTTTGTTTTTGTTCATCCCTCAGCCCCTGGTTATCTGTGGCACTGCTGTACCTCTTATGTTTTTGTTTTTACTAAATCCCATAAAGACCCAGACCTTGGAGACGCAGGGAAGCAGATTTAGACTAAAGCTACAACATTGCATTGACCTCAATGCTAACCCTAATACCTTACAGTATGTATTGTCAGCATTGTGACCGACTGCCAGTGCGGAGCCCACTGCTAATTCTAGGGGTCTGATTACAGTGCTGGCCTCAGCCTGGCACTAATGACAAGCTTGGTGACTGGTCGTCACTGGCAGAGAGCTGGTGAAGAGATGGAGACCAGAGAGAGGGAGAAGGAGAGCACAGGTGCAGCCGAGAAACATCCTGAGAGGCTGAGGGAGGGAGATGTGTTGAAATAGGAATGAGCTATGAAAGATTCAGGGAACTGCAGGGATACGGGAATGGGTGAAGGAGTATAAAATGTGGGATACAGAGAGAGGGGGAGGTGGGAGGAGGTGTTGCATGTGTAATGATGATGGTTGACTCAGCATTCAGGTCATCTGAAGCTTTGTAATTACCACTGCCTACAGAAGTAGGCAGAGATGGGCAAAACATAGCATAAAACAAGGAAAACAAAGACAGTGGTCGTATTGATAGTATTGGAGGAAAAAAAGCACGTTCAACATGGCACAAATCTTAGTCGTTTGGGTAGAAAAATAAAGTATTTTTTCTTTTTTCCTGCAAGGTTTCGCAGTTATTTGGGATAATTTTACTCGCATTTCTTACGGTTAAGGTGAAGCTAGTGTGACAAATATTAGGTTATTTATTGTCTTATTTATTGTTTTTGCTATTATCAATCTCTTTGTTTTTTTCTAACTTTTAATTAACCCTTATTTTTACATGGCCACTTCCTGATTGTGGCTCAGGTTTTCAGGTTCTAGCAGGCGTTGGCTTTAATTTAAAATGGTCACATTTTCAGGTAACATTTTTCAAATATTGCGAAAACGTCTGTTAACATCCGGCCATTGCAGATTTAAAGTTCATCATCTCCTCTGGTAATTTTAATTCATTTTAATAAACTTTATTTTAACATTTAACATTTATTTTAAACTTTAAAACTATTGCTGATCTTTTTTATGTGTGTCTGCACACACCTAATAACAATACATAGTTTGACATTGACCAGGTAAACGGCCTCAACAAAATGCCGGCCTGACACATTTTTCACTCTTGACTTTATTGCTACCCAGTCACATGATCGTGCCCTTTTCATCCTTTATCTATACACTGACTTATTTTGCAGAACACACATTTCTACCTTAGAAACTGTCTTTTTTGCCAGTATCCCTGCTTGGACGTGCGCCTTAATATATTGAATAGTCCTGCTACACACTGACCTGTTTGTACACGCTGAGACAGAATGAGTCAAAAGGCTTTTATAGAATAGAAGTCAAGATGTTATACTTAGACTCAAAATGAAAAGTGAACAGCTTTGCTGAACTGAATGCGTTCATAAATCACTTCTCCTTCTAACTTCTAACTATGCAATCATTTCTTTTTTGGTGCATTCAAAGCAATGGCCAAGCCCAGTGCAAGCAGTCATGGTTAAGTATTTGCACCTGGCTGACTGTCAGAGGTAATTTTTTTACCTTTAGAAAGCTCCCACTCAGACTGACTTCTTTCTATTGACAGCAGTAAGTGCAGCAGATTTATCACAGATAAGAGGTTCAAACAAAAGCCTAAGCTACACTTTGACATTCATCACAGGCTCTTTGTATGTTGCTGTGTGGCCGGGTTGAAGGATGTCTGTGTTTGAATAATGTATTACAAGTCATTTCTAGGTTGTAGAAATGTGCATGTAGCGTTCCTTCCCTTTTCCCAGAGAATGAAAATGTAAGGGGGAGATCATTTTTGGATTCTGGTGGAAGAGGAGTGACAGGTTCTCATTCGCCTCTTCCTCTTTCAATAATTTCATTGGGAACAGAGGGTCTGGACGGGTCACTCTGGCTGAGATTATGAAGTTGTCAGGACTGATGGAGACAGGGACGCAGAGACAAGTAAGACGGTGAGAGAGACAGCGCTGGAGATAGGAGGGCCTAGAGAACGCAAGAGCTTTTAACTTAAGAATAGTGTGGGCGGTTGGATTGGTGCTTTTATGCAAAGCCTCATTTCACTCATTGGATTTGAATGGCAGGGTTTTATTGGGGTAAGTGAATTGGCGGCCACTCTGAAAACCAGTCATGTCCAATTCAATTCTACTCGGGAGTCTTATCTGGCACTCAGGAGTAAAGCTACAGAAGGAGTTTTCTGCTTACAGATTATTCTCTTTTAAAAAAGACTGAATCATTTTGTTATTACTAAGCACAGCCCTCTCTGTTTTTATTTCCAGTGGAAGGGGAATAACAGGAACAGCAGATCTCTCTTATCTCCTCATAGCTTACATCTTTACATTTCCCAGTGTTAGCATTCTGCTGCTTTCATAAACAAGGACAATATAAACAACACTGTCATACTCCTAAGAATAAAATGGTTTAACATTTAAATGACAAATCACACCATTGTTCAATTTAAATGCCATTCTAGAGAGCTTTGAATACACGTTAGTGCTGTAGAAGAAGATAATCAGGTCGACTGTTTCCTTCAGGGGTCACTGCAGCAGATCATCTGCACTCCATCTGAATTTATCCCTTTCCACAATACTGTTACTTCAACTCTCCTCATGTCCTTCTTTATAACCCGTCTTTGAAGTGTCCCTTATTTCTACATTTGAGAGCTCAGTTTCTATTACTCCTCTGGCAATTGTCTTCAATTTAACCCAAAATTAAAGTGTCATCTGCAAAAGTGGTGATTTACAGAGACAAACCATCCATCAGTAATACAAACAGCAAGGAGCTCAGAGCTAATTTTGCTTTCCCCGTTTCTTGAACCACCCTCAAATACTTTATTGCCAACATTTACCTCAATAACTGTTTACATATTAAACACCTAAAGAATCCTTTTTTGACAGAAACGCTGTAAAACATTGTTCTTTTTGAACACCTGAATGTCACTTAGCCAACATAGGGACCTGACCTCTTGGTTTAATAGTGGGTCACAACCAACATTTTTAGGCACATACCACCACCTACTGTGCTAGACTGTGTAGTCTCATGGTATGACCAGTGACTTTTTAAGAACACAGCCTACTCCGTACGACTTCATGCGCAAATTATTTTTTTATTTCAATTGATTCACCATGCATTGTTACATCCCTTATTAAGAGTTATTGCTGTTTTTACTTTCATTTTTTCTAATAAATGACCATCTTTCTTTGTTATTAAATAAAATGAATCTCTATTGGCTCAGTCTTTTTACAGTGGTCCTGCTGCAGTTGGACTGCACTGTTAATATAAGCCTTAAGGCTGATCTATAGAAAAGACTCTTTTCTATCCATTACATTTATTTAATGCTTCACCCATAATTCTGGTCGTTACGCCGTCACTGATTCCAGGTCGAGGCCCTACTTTCCTTCTTAGATCTGGACAAAATGACCCCAGTGCCATTGAGTAGTGGGCACTTAGCTGACCCTCACTGCTCATCTCTAATATTCCTATAACCTGGCTCTCAACAGTCCAGTCTGGCTCCTGGCCCAATCCTTTATTATCTTAACTTTCACAATGGATGGATGATTCGGGGGCATGCAGAGGTTACCTTTTCTGGTGGTACAACGGTCAAGCAGTAGGCAGATAATGGCATTAGATATTATGGAAAATTAAACGGAGAAGGTGAGTTTGGATCGTCCCAGCAGGAGCATCTGCCCAAACAATGCAACAAAAAAAAACTAGACTAAAAAAAAGGAGGATAAGGCAGTAGAGAGAAACAGCCAGCAGAAGCACTTTCTGTTTCATGGAGACAAGAGACATTTGGGTGAGTGTGTGTCTGTGTGTGTGTGTGTGTGTGTGTGTGTATGGGATTACAGTTGTACGACTGGGCAGGGAGCATGCACCATGTTGCACTCTTCTAATATTGGACTTGGAGCAGAGTGGTAAATATACTCCCTTTTCCAGAGAGACTTACAGAAGTGTTGCAAACCCATCTTGTGTGGCCACTCTAGTGGAACGTGATTTTTTTTTTTTTTTACTTCTTTTTCCTTTTCCCACAGATTTCCTTGTTGAAATAGTGCACAAAAAAGACATGTTCAAACGTGAATGTTTGTGTGGTTGACTTGTCTGGGTTTCAAGCATGTGATCAATAAAGTTTGATTCTCTGTGTTCCTGTTTATGTGGAATCAGGCATACACACATGCCACTGTTGGTCTGTCTCTCTCTCTCACTCTCTCTCTCCCTCACTCTCTGTTATCTCTCCA